CCGACAAGTTGATCGCTTGGCATAGAAACCTTCTCTGTGATTCTCTAACTCGCAAGCATGCGCGCCGTGTATATTCTAGCGATGGCGTGTGCCGCCACTTTACAAGCCAGCAGCAGTGCTCTCCCTTCGGCTAAGGACTTGAATTCTCAAGTTGAAAGCTTAGTTCCATCGGATATTACCGACTCGGCTCATGTGGGTGGTGTTCGGCTACTGCGCGTCGAAGACAAAGAAGAGGAGACCGAGGAAGAGAGAGGTTTTGGGGGCGCGCTGGCAGACGGTTTGAAAAAGCCCAACCCCGCTAAGGCTGCTAAGAAGGCTAAGGAAAAAGCTGCGAAAATTAAGCAGGATCTTAAAGAGATAGGAGAACACGCGGCATGGCTGGAGAAAATGAGGGAAACGATCGGAAAGGACTAAGAAGTGGTCATCAAGTCATTTGATACGAGACGATAAATCCCATCTACCGATGTGGCGGTGTAGTGAACGTCATTTTCAATCGGACGGTAATTCAAGGTTAGCACCAAGGTTGAATTCAGGATGCATAGTCTTGCCAAATTGGCGTAACGGCTACGCAATCGTCGCGGAGATAACGGTGAGCGTTAAAAGCACTGACAATGCCAATACCGGTAGACCTTCTAAAACACGCGTACGATTCTAATTTAACTGTTGGATGCTGAGTTACCTAACACTTTGCAGTTTTCTTACTAGTAGTAGTATTATTATTTAAGCTGTAAAGCGTTACTCCTTTAATTTCTAAATTACTACATTAGTATATGCGATCGATGCCAGTTTGCACCTCGCGCTTAGTTTGGCGGCCGGTTAGCTCAACCAAGAACCGGACACTCCGCGAGCCGCAAATGACAAAAGCAGCACAAGCTGAGAAAAAGTGGAAGATACATTACATATCAGCAGCTCCACGCCTCTCAAGCTAGGAGTAGTTGTAATTGACAAGGGCGAACCTTTGTTGCAAGCATCGCGACTGCATCCAGCACTCAAAATGAGGTAAAACACAGTCAAACGGCAACCCTTTAACAGAAGCCATACTTTTTTATTGGTTAAGTGAAGCGTCGAGTTTCTTGATATATCGCTCAATCATCGTATTACGTCAGCAAGGCTCTGTTTTAAGTCGACCGGCTTTTTTTTATCAGCAATCAACTTGTTGATAAGCTCATCCTCCAATTTTCCTCTCTTCGGGTCACGTTTCGTTTCATCTAATATACGTAGCAGCCGTCTGTGTGACGACTGGTGAGAGCACGGCGCAGAGAAACAGCGACGAGGAACGAGTCGCGTGGCGAGGAGCGAAGCGGAGGAGGGCGGCGAGAGTCCAACGAAGGGGACTCGAAGGTAAGGCGTAGGAGGCAGTTGATGTGCCTCGAAGAAGGTAAATTGGAAAGTGAGATTGAAATGGTTAGTTGTTTGTCGGCTACGAGGAAGTGCTTGTTAGCATTCCCTTGGTATCCTATGTAAGTATATGCATTTCACTATACTAGATTCTAAGTAGTCCTTGAGTCGAATCTTGAAGTAGCGTAGCGTAGTAGTGAACCGCGGTTCATTTGAACCGGGTCAGAATCTCCATAGTGAATTCAAATGAAAAAAGAATGACTGTCATTGAAGTTCCATGTTTGGTAATACTCATCCAAACATGGTGATTGCCTTCCGGTCAGGCGTGTGTCTGCCTGGCCGCTCATTGGCCAGCTTAAGAAGACAGTTGGCAGTCAGCAAAGACAAGTAGGAGAAAAATAGAAGA